TAAAATTACACCAAAATATATACTATAACAAAGTAACACCTATATTAAAATCAAGAAATTTACCATGTGGTGGTATATTTGGTAAATACAACAACGTATATATAATATCGTAATATTTATATTAACTAAAAAGAATCATATCACTAAACTAATTAACTCATTTCAATGATTAGTTATAAAAAAATGAATATGCGGTATACCACGGGGTAAATTCTAACTTCGTATGTATATATAAAGTATAAACTATAACGGTTGAAGTTTTATATAAAAGATACGCATAAATTACTAGACCTGTGGTGTACCACGGGGTAAAATCTAGTTGAGGTTATATTATTCATTATCTTATGTGTATTATGCTTTAGTTCTAAAACATCCAAAATAGAAAACCGAAAGTCTTCTAAGGTTCATTCGAAAGATCACATGATTAGATTTACACTATTGTTGGGTGTAAAAATAATATGCATCAAAGAGTGTTTAGAATAAATACTTAACTAATTGAACTTCCAGAAATAGTAGTATATGTTTAAAATACATCAATTTATATTAAATATACATATAACGAGTTTTAGTCAAGTAGTTAACGACTAAACCTCAGGAATTTTTCCACAAAAGTTTGATTCTAGCAAAAGACTATAGATTTGTATGGTCAGCTCTTATCGACCCAATGATATGTATGTATCTAAATTTAGGAAAAAGGAAAAGATATCCAAATACATATGGAGCGAAATGAAATGCACCTATAGTTTTTGTGTCTTCAAACTCTTGAAGTTACATTATAAATATCATTTGGATTTTTTTTTCTTTTCAAAACCATGTAGGATTAGATTAGTATATCAAAATGATTACTATTTTCATTCTAAACTCATATGCAATGAATCCTATTACGTGGCCAAATAGAGGATAGAAAATGGTGATCCATAATTCCCATATATGATAAAACTCGATCTTTACCTTTAACCAGAAGAAAAAAAAAAAAAAATTCAACCAATAAATGTACCACCACATGGTTCCTTGAGACTAATCCACATATCCATCCATACACATGATCTCTATTTAAAAATATTCCATTTAAGTTACTTTGTATTAGTAATCTTGTTTTTGAGGATAACATTTTGTAACCAATATAGAAAACTTGGAAACATAACAAAATCTCGAATGAAACGTTGGCATTCGATTCTGAAGACCACAAGTGCAAAGCTGCCACATGTACTCCTATCTCGTTATCCATATTACTCTGCTAATTTCGTATTATTTTAATTGTCAAAGATCTTCACTCCATAATTAGCAGCAACAAATCTTTCATAAGCCTCCACTGGTTTAACACGTACCGAGCAATTCACCAAATTCTTTTTTTTTTCCTAACAAAGCTACTGTATTCAAATTAATACTACAAAACAACTTTATAAATTATAAAATTAAAAACACAAATAAAAATGTGGTAGGTGAATGATTTGACGGATTTACCCTTGAATACACGTTAAAGACTTAGTATATAAATCCTTACCTTGTCTACCATTATCTCTCAGCTTGCAAGTTCTCTCTCTCTCAGATATTGAACTACAAGCTTCTTTGTACTGTACTTTTAAATACGCCGCCGTTTTTATATTTCATTGTTTTATTTTTATTTCTCGACTCGAAGAATCATGCAAACCATTTCGCCTGCGTTCTCGTGTGATCTCAAATCCGTAATTCAACCGAATCTAACGGCTAAAAACGCGCGTTACTCCCACGTAAATGGAAAACGCGTGTCTGTTCGTTGCGGTTACAGGTCCGAGTCGTTTAGTTTCCCTAACGGTGTTGGTTCGAGCCGAGCTGATTGGCAAAGCTCGTGCGCTATCTTAGCCAGCAAAGTAGTCTCGGCTGAGAACTCAAGCTCCATGGCCGATCAAGTCGCCGTCGTTAACGGGCACAGCAACGGCTCCGTCGATCTTAGCCTTGTCCCGTCGCAAAACGGAAAGCCTGGATTGGTTCAGCCGTTAACTATCACAGATCTATCTCCGGCGCCGTCTCACGGATCCACTCTCCGTGTAGCTTATCAAGGAGTTCCCGGCGCGTATTCCGAAGCGGCCGCCGGAAAAGCTTACCCGAACTCAGAAGCTATCCCGTGTGATCAGTTCGACGTTGCGTTTCAGGCGGTGGAGCTTTGGATCGCCGATCGTGCCGTTCTACCTGTTGAGAACTCACTCGGTGGTTCGATTCATAGAAATTACGATCTCCTCCTCCGTCACCGTCTCCACATCGTCGGAGAAGTTCAGATCCCGGTTCATCACTGTCTCCTCGCACTCCCCGGAGTCCGTGCGGATTGCATCACGCGAGTGATTTCTCATCCTCAAGCTCTGGCTCAGACGGAAGGATCGCTCAACAAACTCACCCCAAAAGCCGCGATCGAGGCGTTTCACGACACAGCCGCGGCGGCGGAATACATCGCGGCGAACAACCTCCACGACACGGCTGCGGTAGCTAGCGCAAGAGCAGCTGACCTCTACGGGCTCCAGATCCTCGCCGACGGGATCCAAGACTACGCGGGGAACGTCACGCGCTTCCTCATGCTAGCGCGTGATCCGATCATCCCACGCACGGATCGGCCGTTTAAAACGAGCATTGTTTTCGCGGCTCAGGAGCATAAAGGAACTAGCGTTTTGTTCAAAGTGCTTTCCGCGTTCGCGTTTCGAAACATCAGCCTCACGAAGATAGAGTCGCGGCCGCACCATAACTGCCCGCTCAGAGTCGTAGGGGACGAAAACGTCGGAACGTCGAAGCATTTCGAGTACACGTTCTACGTGGATTTCGAAGCCTCGATGGCGGAGGCGCGTGCGCAAAACGCGTTAGCGGAGGTGCAGGAGTACACGTCATTCCTCAGGGTGCTGGGAAGTTACCCAATGGATATGACGCCATGGTCCACGTTACCCCCTAGCGAAGACGTATGACAATTATCATATATATATAATTGATCTCATAATTTATAATAACATTATGATAAAAATTTATCATAATTTATTTATATATATATATATATATATATATATGTATACTTGGGGAACTAAATTAGAATTTGTAGAACTCGTTTTGCATGTGGAGTGGGAGAGAATAATATTAGTTTTTTAATTTCTAAACCCACTCAAACCAATGTGTGTTGTATATGTAATTATGTATCTTGCTACTGTTGGAACGAGACTGGTTTGTAGTTTTGTTTCTGATGATTTTATTACAATTGAATATATTTCCTTAAGCTAAAGCACAGCTTTTCATTATTGAATGTAATGTTTAGTATACATATCATAGTAATTTCATGAAGACTCAAGTATGTATAACGATGTATACAAAGAAATCTCACACAGTCACACAATATAAACATTTTCATGTCCAATGCCATGCTTAAGACGTAAATCATCTCTCTCTCGTCAGCATTTATATGAAATTCGTAGATGGTTATTGTGTATATATAAAGAAAACAAATCATATGTATATTATACATGTGCGGTTTTTATTTTGGTCATCTTCCCAAAAACGTTTGGTTGTCTTAATAGTTTAGAAATCTTAGTATTTGTCATTTCATTACCTTTGTAAAGGAATATATTAGCAGAATCAATGAATTAAATAATCGTTGAAGCTCATCTTCTTCTCTAGAACAGCCGCGTTAACCAACAAAACAAGAAAAAAGACTTTCAGATTCTAGAGTGTGATTAAAGTACAAGTCAATTAAAACAAGTTAATTATAAGTACAAGTTAAAGTCAAACTTAACGTCTGAACACAAAATTAGTTCAGTTTGATGTTTCTTGCTTTGAAACAAAAGGTATATATAGTCATCATCCATTCGGTCGTGTACTATGTCCCAAATTGCCAACAATTCCGATATATTTTAATAAAGTTCTCAACTATATTCAGGAAATTCAGTTTGAGGTTGCCAAAGAATTGGGCATATAATTTCTAAGAAACTTACTGTTTAATTAGTATTTTATATAACACGTATGACTTCACTATTTATATGTTCCCACCTTTGTGTTTTAGGGGTTGAAACTTGTTTGCATGCCAACACAGTTTTAGGCATATTACGTTGCCCTATATGCTCTTAACATTAGGCCATGCATGATTCCAAATTGCGATATACATGAATGATTCACGAGCAATGAATTTTTATTTATTTTATTTTTTACCTCAATGGTGTACGTTTTAGATCTTGCGTGGTGTCTTAATATCGTACATTTGTAAAGTACTTTCCACCATATACTAGTTAATTAATGTTTAACTTGTTAATGAGAAATCAAATTTGCCTACTAAAAAGTAACCAATAAATAATTAATTCAAAAGAGAGAGTAGTAGTACTCTTGCCCTGGTCATAGCCACAACGATTCACGAATGACGAAACTGATTTGAGCATTTGAGCGGGTCCATATGATGGCTATCGAGATGATGGGAATCATGTCATGGCCTATATATATTACAATCATAAGCACTAATGATATACTGTTTGAAACGTAGTTAAATCTATATGTCATTATGTGGGACAAATAAAATGACGCTCTAATCATGTCACTTGACCGTATAAAGGGTTTGGTGGGAAAGAGAAGTGGTCGGGAGTGACATATCAATCGAAACTTCGTCTTGTATTCATTTTTGGGGATTGATTACACTTTTGTTTCTTTGTCTTTTGTTCTAATTATAAGTAGCATTTTAGGTTTGATAGTACATATGTTTAAGCTTAGATATCGATTTTCAACCACAACCCGAACTTAGAGGAAAGAGATGTCACATCTGTGTGTAAGTAAAATATAGTGCTCGATAATTTAATAAACATCATTACTTAGTTATATAATTTGAAACCAATCACTTCATTAATGTACGTCTAATCCATCGTCATGATCACAGCAGACAAAGATGATTAAAACACTTCCATTATGAAAATAATATACTGATATAATTAATGATAGAAATGGGGTTGATTAAGAGAAATGGCGAAATCAGGAGTGGGGTGGTAGGTGGGAGAAAGAGAGAGATCGAGCACACTGTGGTAGTTGGTGAGTGTGGGGGAGCCTTATACTTACTTAGGATTTGCCGACTTCTTTAGATTCCGGTTTAGGTTTAGCTTTTTTTTTTTTTTTTTTGGGTTTTGGTTCCGGTTATATAAGTCACACAGTTCTTAGTGATTGATTGAGCAAAACAAACTCGTTATGTAATAATATTCTCTTTGTGGTCCAAGAAATGCATAAGATTTTAACGAAGTGTATATATTGAATGTTCCTTGTGCAAATTGCAAGGCCAGGTCAATCACCATTTGCAAGTTACATATTATGAAGACGTCTACCTCAATCAATTTTCTAATAACTAATATTTCTCATTGTTTCATCAAATTGAAAGTGAAGTGATCGTTGAAAATATATATAAAAGTTTTCTTATTGTGGTGTAGTTTTGTTTTGAAACAGCATTTTCCACTCCACTTGAGAAATCTCGAACCTATTCAGTAGTATTCATGATAGGTCATATATCTCTGTGGCACATTTGGGGATGGACCAATTAGTAGCATCAAGTCAAAAAAAAAAAGGTTTACGTACACCACTCTAAAGCACACTGATATTGAATCATTTGTGTGTCGTGTGTGTGTTTTTTTTTCATCTGCAAATACTGAATTATGTTATTAATACATTACCTAAAAATATGTTATAGGCTTATTGGTTGGTGAATTGGATTCGATATTGCTCAAAGTATCATCAGTGTAACGCATTGGTGGTTCTGTTTCAACTCTACTACGTATTTTGTTGAGAGATCCATGCAAAGTTAAATTTTATCAGACTTGAAACAGCCCATGTTCTTCCAAGTAATGCTCGGCCCATATACCTCAAACTATTGACGTGGTGATAATTCAAATTGAAAGAGAAAATATTATAGAAAATATGTAACATTTGGGTGAACAAAAAAAAAAAATGTAACTTTTTGTCCCAAAAAAAGAAAAAAAGAAAGAAGAAACTTGTAACTTGAAGAGGTTGAATTTTGACGTAAAATCAAATTAGCAAACCATGAAACTGACATATAATATGTTTTTAGATTAATAAAAGTATCTTAAACCATTATCTAAAAGTTCTTAAAGTTACTAAATTATCACAAAACCATAATTATTAAGTTTGATTTTCATTTTCGTATTGTTGATAAAAAGAAAATTTTTCTATTTATCTAATTTACAAATACTTTACATGTAGAAAATTTGAATATTGAAATTAGTTTTTCTAGTTTCAATGATAATTTAGGTTTAAAAAAAAAAAAACAAATCTACAAATTTTTCTAAAATTTCACCAATTCCTCAAGTTTACAAATGATGTAACATTTTTTTATTTCCTCAAGAATTCCACAAAGTATGTTACTATTTCAGTTTTAAATTAAGCACTCAAACCATTGTAATAACTTTTTTTTTTTTTTTTAAGTTCACATTTTAGTAAGAAGAAACATGAAAAAAGAACTTTAAAGATCAATGGATTTAGTAGTACTCGAACAAAATTATACTGCCGAAATGTAAAAGAACCAAAACATCGGGGAGAAATATAAATTATCTGCAAATGTTTTTGTTTCAGTGCTCGTTCCCCAAAAGTCCAAAACCTCACCCTCTCACGCTTATCTATCTGTTCAACACTCTTCACCTATCCACTTCCTCTCCGCTCCTCCTTTATCACTCCCTTCCCTCATGGCTAACGACGAACTCACTGAGTCACAGCAACAAGAAGACCCGACTCAACAATTACCCAATGCGGACGAAGAGAATGGCTCAGACTCCGACTCTGACTCGTCATCCCAATCCTCCGGCGACGATTTCTACATCTCCGAGTCCGAGAACGAAGCAGAAGGAGACATCGACATCCTCAACTATGTACGGCCAAGCGACATACCTCCCGACCCAAACGCCAACCCAGAAACCAACATTCGCCGGTTCAATCGCGTGCTCGACGGCAAGCGGGTGAAGCGTTTGCAGGAAGAAGAAGAGGATAAATACACTTTCTATGAGGATCTTTTCGATTTCCCTAGAGACCCAGAACGGTGGAAGGAGCAAGATCTTCGGGAGATTTGGGCTGATGGTCCATTGGAGATGACTAAACCTGGGTGGGATCCTGCTTGGGCTGATGAAGATGATTGGGATGTTGTTAACGATGAGATTCAAGAAGGTCGAGATCCTGGGATTCAACCTTTTTATGTTCCCTATAGGAAACCTTATCCAGCCATTCCAGATAACCATTATGATATTGAGAATGCTAAAGGTGTTGTTGAAGAGCTTGATAGGATTGAAGAGTTTCTTCAATGGGTCAGCTATATTTTCCCTGATGGAAGCTCGTAATACCCCACATTCCTCTTTTTGACTTTTTTTTTTTTTGTTTCTGTGAATTTGGTTTTCAAAGCTATGACTTTTGGGTTTATATGTTTTGATTCATTTGATGTTTATTTTCGTCTGATTCAGCTGAAAGCAATACGTGTTGTGCTACTGAGAAGGTTTTGGTACCATGATATAATCTCTAGAGCTAGTGACTTTCTTCGTTTGTTGTGTACTATAAGCTGCAGATTGACTTTTCATGCAGTTTGGTTTGAAACTTTTTGTTCTAAGTAGAGTTTCAAATCTAGCAATTGAAGGACAGGCTGAATGATAGGGTATTAGAAACTTTCTTGCTACTAAGTTTTCAACATCTTCTTCCTCTGTTTGGGTAGCTTTTGTGATGTATACTTTCATCTTGATTTAGAAGCTTCGTATCTCACTATTTCCACTCTCTGCTTTTTTGGCCAAAAGGTACGAAGGCACAGTCTGGGATGACTTGGCTCAAGGCAAAGGTGTTTATATTGCTGAAAATGGGCTTGTAAGGTGATATTTCTGTTTTTTAGATTTACTTGTTTTTTTGTTTCTCTTGTAAAATGTTTTACATTGGTTTTCAATGACCTAAGATATCTTTTATTTTCTGGTGGATATTTATTGAAATCTTTAGGTATGAGGGTGAATGGCTTCAGAATGACATGGAAGGTCATGGGGTCGTCGAAGTTGATATTCCTGATATTGAGCCCATGCCAGGTTCCAAGTAAGATTACCGTTCCTATTAATCCTCCCAAGGGAATCTCTGGACATAGTCATTTGAATAGGATATGGTTCTTTCTGTTTACGTAGGCTTGAAGCTAAGATGCGTGCAGAAGGAAGGATTATCAAGAGAGATTATATGAATCCGGAAGACAGAAAGTGGCTGGAAATGGATGTTGAGGACAGTGTTGCACTTACTGATGGAAATTACCAA